CACTTCATATGCTTGTCGTCGCCGGCTGAGGGTTGTGCGCGGGGGGGGGGGGGGGGGCCTCGGGTATGGGTGCAGGTGTGGATGGAGAGCAGACCTGCACTCACCCTCGAATGCTCGTTCATGAGTGCTTCACAGGCTAGTCCAGCTCTTCCTGAATATTTTATTCGCACATTGATTTCAAAATGTTCAAAAAATGAAAATTCAGCTGTAGCTCTTACGCTAAAGCATAGGAGACAATTTAGAAGGAACCTAAAAGCATCAGATAAGCGAACAAAGCATGTATGAACAAAATAATTCTTGCTGATGTATTATATTTTTATTCTAATTGAAGTGATTAATAGATATTTTCAAGGAGCGTAACAAAATCATTGTATCTCACATCAGCCTTGCCATCAGGAAGTGCCCGTTCAACAATCCCTTCAAAACTAGATGTGGGTACTTGATATTCGCGTAATGTACTAGTAAGACCCAAATCAGCGATGAGTTGCGTGATTGCTTCAGCTACTCTCAGTGCTTGTTCGCGCGGATTATCAACCTGCTGATGTGGCATAATCTTTGTAATAAATGGTAAGAGAGACGCGAGCTGTTTGACTTCAGCATCCGGTAAATATTTTGCTTGAATAGCCACGATACGGGCAAGAGTCAAACATGAACAAATGCCATGAGGAATTCCAAAGCTAAATAAGAATTAAATACGAGCATTCGTTTTGTAATAATATCTAGATTTAATTTTGAAGGCATTCTTCAAAAGGCTAATAGCATGCACCTTGCTTCGACATGTCTTAATCCACATAGATCCTGTTAGTATCCAAAGAATATCCCTCTCACCTTGTCTATATAAGTGTGAAACTAGCTCACTTATCGAATGTAATGAAGCATCTGGGATGGTGAAAGCTTCTGATGGAAGCTATACAAATGACTTGAGATACAGAGCGAAGAATCCTTAGGCACGATTCACAACATTAAGAAGATTAAGGAGCGATGGTGAAGTTTGTGCTGACAATATTTACTATAGTACTTTATTCGTAAATCAGGTACCCAATCGTGAGACATCCATTATGAATTTTCATGCTTCGAAAAGCGACAAGTTTGAGATAATGAAGATCTATTCATGATTATGCCTGGGAAGAATAATAACGCTGCTCTCAATTTATGCAGATAAAAAAAAGAACAGCATTCGCGTCGATAGGAATCGCCAGACAGACTACGCCAATCGATTTGCGCAGCGAGAACCGAGAAACAATGATTTTGTGATAATACGAGAGACGACAGTGATACGAACTAGAAGTTCCAGGAGTAATCCCACAGTCTAGCACACGCCTATTCAAAGTCGCAAAAACTTACAGGAAGCACATGATACGTTAATCTATCGTTGGAGACATCCTAAAAGAACACTGATAAAACGAATAAGCACTGGCAAAACGTGTTGGTAGACCAAAAGAAGACAGAAGCGTGTGAAGTGTTTAAGTATAAACAATTGTATGGAACAGTCCTGCGAAACTCTGATAGGAGCATTGATTGAGGGATCAGGATGACTGTTGCTTGGAACTATGAGAAATGTTACGGATGGAAGCTGTAGCTACAACAATCTTACCGATACTGCCGCCATCACATAAAAAAAGCAAATGATGTTCGTTCAATCAGGCTTTCCTTCGTAGATTTTTGCATTACTACCGTTGTCATTCAATCAGTAGAATAATCTTTATCTGCAGAATCTATCAACTTCAATTCTATAGAGTATTGAGGTCCCGATCGTTTACTATGATCATAGCAAGAACCTGCCTTCCATGTAACTGAAATATCAGTTTGACCACATGAAACATCATCCGAAATCAAGACCATTCATAACAAGGTGAGCGATTATTTTCACTTTCTTGTCACGCATCATGCCTAAACAAGTATTCATCAAAGCAAGGATTCGACTATATGATTATCCATAACAATGAAATTCGAATGCTGACACAATTTTCGTTTCAAATTGTCTTCTTATCTCAAAAAAGCATTTTTCATTGAGGCTATGTCGTTGCTCATTTATGATAGCACTTAAGTATCAAAAGATGGCTGGCTGTTACGTACATTATCCCAAAGACAACACGCAAGTACTCTCAGATAGGAGCACAACGGAGCAAACGCACGGTCAATTATCGAATTCCCTTATGCTTCGCATTCGTTCTAATAGACTGAAAACTTGCTCTTGCACACTAGCAATGGGAATCTCACACGAGATATGATCAAAACAAAACCCGTTATTTGGGAACGCTCANCTCTTCTAATTATTCATTTGCTCTGCTTAAATATATGCGACAAATAGTAAAGAAATATGAATGAATCTATGGTAAACCACAAAGCTAAATAATTATTTGACATATTTTCGAGAACATGACATGATATCAAAGTGAGCTGATAAAATAGATAAAGTATACTACGATAAATTTGGACTTTAGAGAGTATTTTGATGCATGTTCGTTAACAGAAATAGCTTTCGACCTTAGTAAAAAGTGCCTCATTTACAGAAAAAAACACTTGTATGGTCATATTTTCGAAACAAAGATGAGAAAACTCAGCAAAATCTAGACCGGCCGGTAAAGAATCTTCTACCGGACCGGACCGGATCGACCGGTCTGCTGGTCTGGTTCCAACTCTGACACATGCATTCCAATATTCACTAACTAAAGAAAGAAAGTAAACATTTTCGAATTTATTTTAGGAAAGAAACTATCTTCAACAACAACAATAAGAGATGCAAAAAGTATAGGAAAATGATCTGAAATTCCTTCATCGATTACTTCTAAAGTTCAACCCGAACTATCATGTGTCAGTGCAAAATCAATAGTAGCAGAAGAACGTCGTGAAGTATGGTGTGGGTGTGGTTCTTCTCTCCATCAACATCCACAACCTAATCTTTCATATTCTGATGACATTTTCGTCAATGAAAGGATGAAAATTAAAAATCGGCGTTGTAGATCAACATAGTTTGTCCTATTTCGTGCATACTTTTTTTATTAGAATGATTAAAACCAAAACTTTGCTTTAGAAATTATCATAATCTCTTGTACTTTGTTCATGTATACATGACTAGAATAATGAAATTGCAAAATTCGTGTTGTGAATGAAAAAACCTGGTCCAGTTTCGATCTTTTTCCTATCATCGAAATACTGCGAATCAAAAAAACATGTTCTAAATTAAAATAATCTGTTTTGTTTTGATTATTTTAACATTATGAGAATCATGATCATCATATAGCTATGTAGTGAATTGAGATAATATACTTGATTTCATTTGTATTTTCATTCTTCATTAGATTATAATCAAATATTCATATTCTGAATGAAGCAAATCAAAGATTCATGTTCCGAATGAAAATAATTTGTTCTCATTTCATTATTTTCTAACTATTTAAATGATGAAAATCGAAAATTCGTATTGCAAATGAAAATATTCTCTCCTACTACTTCAATTACATTTTGATCATAAGAATGTTAAAAATGTGTAAGTTATGTGGTAAATGGAAATAAACTGTTCACTGCCGATTATATTCCTATCAATGACAGGTTGAAAATTAGTGATTTCCGTCACCCATAAAAATAATCTACCATCTTATTTCAAGCACATTCTTCCTTTACGGCCTAGAAAAATCTATAATTCATGTTCCGAATGAAAATAATCGATTCTCATTAAATGAAATGCAAATCATTGAAATAATGAAAACTCGAAAATTTTGTTTTAAATCAAAATAATCAATCCAGTTTCGATTATATTCAGGCGGATATGAGCATGAGTGCGGATCTTTTTCCGCCCACAATCCACATCCAACAGATTTCTATTTAATCTCTACATTTGTAGATTGAGATAGAAAGATGAATTTGTTTAAGAAGCAATCGAACCTATGGAAATGGTAGAGGATTAGTAAATAGGTCTGAACGGCTTTGTAAGTTCGAATTTTATTTTCGCATCCAACTCAAGAGAATGATCCGATCGGAATCAAGCGGGTGCTATTTCCTTTGGTCTTTGTGTGTTTTACCAATTCCATAAAGTCCTCAAACTTTCTCCTAGTTGGACAGCTAACATACAAGAGTTCCAATGCATGCAACGTATGCTTGTTGAATCAGTGCGCAATTGATTACAGTATAACAAGATAAATTTCATTCATTATTCTGTTTATAGTTCAAAATGATTTAGACATCATGTTTCTATTATGGAGCACATTTTGTCAGACTCAATATTCCATTACACAAACATGCGAACGGTTGCTGCTGATTTTTCGTGATCACACATTTTCCGGATCCACAATTCAATTGGCAAGCTACAAAAACACGAATTATGCAACAATCTTATTCACACGAGGAAAAATAACTCACCTTCCGTACTTCGTATATTGATAGTTGATTCACAGTTAGGACCTGTCAAGTTTGTACCGGTGCCGCAGTAGCAAAAGTAGCTGTTGGAGGTATTGTAGCATATGCTTCCATTTTTGCATGGATTTTGAGCACAATTGGTTTGGGCTAGAGAAAAGAATCCATGGACTTACTTTGCTTTTTTTTGAAGCAGACTATCTTGATTCAATAGACAGAAGACTGTGACTCGTAGAACACATATTAATCAATAAGATCAGAGAAGCTCTCCGAGAAACTGATTTTCTCTGCAACGTGTTGAAAGCTTAGTTTCTCCCACAAGGAACACGCTTTAATTATCAATATTATTTGCGTTAAAGTCATTCTTGAATATTTTATCTAACCATGGAATTTTCAAAGGTGTAAAGCTAAAGTTGGTCGCTTAGTAGGAGAATTTTAGAAACTGACTGTGATTTTTACCTGAACTTTTGAAATCCTTATCAGAAAACCATATATATAATTATTTAGAGTCTCAAAGGCCTCGGCTATAAAAAAATTTTGGCTTCTATAGTCAGTAAGTTAAAAATATCATAGATGGTAAACTGCAGGGCTTATGTCTAAGTATCATTTTTCTGACAGCTCTGTGTGAACAGGTTCTGGATATTTGTTGCGATCCTCACGAGAGTCTTCAGTTTCCTCAGTAGAGAATCCAAAACCTTAAGATAATAATCACAACCAGTTTCCAAAATTCTCCTACTAAGCGACCAACTTTGACTTTACACCTTTGAAAATTCCAAGGTTAGATAAAATATTCAAGGATAACTTTAACACAAATAATATTGATAATTAAATCGTGTTTTTTGTGGGAGAAACTAAGCTTCCAACATGTTGGAAATAAAAACAGTTTTCTGGAGAGTTTTTCTATACAAACAAAACTTTAGAGAAAACAGCTTACGTTTAAGAATATATTTATCTTTTTGATAATTATGTATTCTAAAAGTCACAATCTTGGGTCATATAAAACAAAAAACCCTAGAAATCAGATTTTAGATAAGAACATTCTTACAATTGAAAATGGAAAATTATCAAGACCTCATTTTAATATGTTTTGCAGATGATTTGTGTCATCAAAATATTAAGTTCAAGTGCTATTTCTGAAAGCTTAAAACATTCCGAGTAAAGTCAATGTAAATCTGGAACACGTCCGAATGATTTATACAGATGCAGCCCTGTCTCGTCTTTCACTTTCTATTCTCTAATTAAACTGGAAAAATACATTGACTGACTCGATAGTTGATAGTAAATTTCATGGCCGAATTTTTCTTAAACTTCTCTAGTGAAGTTCCTACGTAGTAAAAGCTTGTTACAATCAATGTGTATCCAAATGGAAATGAGAAAACTAATACTTTCAATTCCAGCTTTCTCTAGATGACCAACATAGACTTTCACGTAAAATTGAAAAGAAAAAACTCATCACTGCCTTCTGTCCTATTTTCACGTGTCAATTTTTTCCTTCGTTTTTGCATACCAACTGATGTAGTGATCGTAGGTTGTGTTGTGGTAAGTAGCGATTCACATTGACGACCTGTATACGATGGTGAGCAGACACATACGTAAGTATTTGAGAATTTATAGCATTTGCCCCCATTGAAACATGGATTTGGCGAACATGGAGTCAAATCTTTTCAAACAAGAAGCCTATGTGTATCAAACCGATTCACTTGTAACAGAACGACTTACTTGGTGTTATGGTTGTAGTAGTTACGATCGGCGGAGCCGTTATAGTTATGTCTGGTATATCACAAAGATCACCTGTCCAAGATGAGCTGCAGTAGCAGAAATCTCTAGTACCATCTGTCATACATACCCCGCCATTCAAACATGGGTTTGATGAACAAGTATGGACTATAAAGTTCAAATGATTAACAATAGGAAGAGAGCGTAATTTAACATGCTACTAGGATACTCTATCTACTTTGTCACTCACATAACTTATTGTTATCATTTTCCATTGAAAGTCAATGTCAAAAATGCACACTTCAACTAGAATTTTTCTCATCCTTTGTATACTTATGTCGATAGAGTATATGCTTGGATGTGGGTGTGAGTGAGCAGAAGACCAATATCCACAATCATTTCCTACTAACGAGGGAAGGCCACCAACTGTCTCCTCGCTTTTCAGCTGAAACTCAATTGATAATAGGTAATCGAACGTGCTGATTCCTAATATCACAATGGTTTTTGCTCGATTTCGATTTAAAGACCCGTTTTTTAAAGATCTTGGTTTTTCAGCCGAAAAACCATTTTCACTAAAATTCTTTTTTGACCTGTCCAAATGAAAGAGCACGTCGTCAAACCTACAGAAAAAAGTTTTTTAAGGTTCTAAGCGAGGTTTTGAGCGAGTTTTCTGCGTCTAAAACTTAAAAAAAGATGGAAAAACCGCTGATTTTTTACACAATTTATCAAAGAAAAAATGTGTTTTCAACACTTTTTTACCAGTTATCATTTCCATTAAAAAACTGCAAATATTTTTACGAATCATGGCTCTGTGAAACTGCTTTATTGCCATCTTTATCACAAATTGCTAATAACATGTGTGAAAAAACAGAACAGAAAGAAAAACAGTAGTTTTTCTTTCATAAATTGTGTAAGAATATTAGCGGTTTTTCCATCTTTTTTTAAGTTTTAGACACAGAAAACTCGTTCAAAACCTCGCTTAGAACCTTGAAAAATTGTTTTCTATAGGTTTGACGACGTGCTCTTTCATTTGGACAGGTCAAAAAAGAATTTTAGTGAAAATGGTTTTTCGTTGAAAAACCAAGATCTTTAAAAAACGGGTCTTTAAATCGAAATCGGGCAAAACCCATTGTGATATTCGGAATCAGCACGTTCGATTACCTATTATCAACTGAGTTTCAGCTCAAAATCGAGGAGACAGTTGGTGGTCTTCCCTCGTAAGCTCTAAGTAAAGCTAACCAGACAGAAATCGCACAAAATAGGGTTACATTTTAGCTAGAGAAACAAAACAAGATCTTTATCAAAAATATTCTATCAATTTTATACAAAGTTTACTTGTTTTGTTCTCAGCAACACCTGTTGCTATCAAATTTTGCAGTTGCCACAGAGCTACTCTAGCAGGATGGTGCATGCTAGCCTCCATTCTAGCTACTTGACCTGCTGTAAACATCTTATAACATCCATATGCACCACTATAGTCCATATAATTTTCACTGTTAACAAGTTTGTTAAGACAATTATTAACAGCAGTGCAACCCTGGCTTCCTACGGTTTGCGGCGTGTCACATACTCGATCGCCGGTTTGATCACATTGGCTGTCAGATGAGGTTGAGCAACCACCTTCGAAAGTGTGTACGAGATTGAGCCAATGGCCAAATTCATGAGTTAAAACTGACGAAAATTCGTCGTCCGTATTTCCATATAAATATCGTCCGTTATAGACGATGCGTGCCAATTTAGCATTGGACATGCCAGCATCTGGATACCAAGCGACACCAGAGTTAGTCAATACACCATTAGCATATAAATCCAACTGAATATAAACATTACAATATTTATAATTATCCCAGGCTTCTCTTTGGATATCATTATTAAAAGCATTTGTTGCGTACCCATTTTTTGCAGGATAATAGATTATTCCAGTTGTTGGATTTCCATTTGGATCATTTCGAGCTAGTTTAAAGGTTACATTGAGCGTCGACCTACTCCCTTGAAAAGTGGGATGAACACTATGGAAATCTTTGTTCAATCCATGAAAATCATCATTTAATTTTTCAAGAGCCTTAATGATTGTCATGTCATTAACTGACTTTCCGGCAAAATTAGTTCCATATACATGAAAAACTACAGGAATAACATAAGAATTCGAAGGTTTTCTTGTAGAAATAAATTGTCGAGTTTTGATTTCGAATTGCTCCATTTCTTTCAAAGCATTCTTGTTTAGATCATAATACTCTTTCATAATTTCATCAGCATGACATTGAATGGAAGGCATCTCTTGTCGATCATTTTTTCCTATTGTAATCACCTCTTCCATGCAGATCGTGAGCCAAAGTAGCATCGATTGAAAGAACATGTGTAACACAATCATTTTCTAAAACTTGTCTATAACAAAAACCTCTGCTAATATAGATAAAATCACTTTTCATCACACTATGCATAAATAATAAATTGATAATTGTAGAGGTAAATCTCAAAAATACTTCTCAAACAAGAAGAGAAATAGTTCACACTCTCACAAAAGAAAGCGTGTTTATTATATCACGATCTAATATACTGCTCAGTTTTGCCATTTTTTCGTGATCGCAATTTAACCCGAGCAAAAGCGTTCAGTTTAAACACACAGTGGATAAATCCTTTCAAGGAGAGAGACTTTTACTCGTTTTTCAAAACACCTTTCGATCATAGTACAGATATGATTGACAATAATGACTTAAGACTATAGACAGTCTCCGTCAAAACCAAGGGTCAGTTCTCTATTCAACATACTTTCATTAAAAATGATTAAACGGTCGCATCAATTTTACTTCATGCGGTTTCAATCTATAGAATAAGTACCGTTTTCATTAAGGATGAGCGATGGAAAAAGACATAAAATCTCACAGGCAAACTTTTCTTTATCAGAAGTTGATGAAATCCGATGACTACAAGGATGACCCTGTTTGATCCGATTGTCACAACCATCCAACTTCAAATTATTCTAGTAATTACAAAACTACCGTATGATGGTCGAACTCGCCGTAATTGCTCACAGTGTCTTGCATGAGATTCTCGCTTTTGTATGAAAACCCTTCGATTTTCAATCTATTTGTCGAAGAATAACGGTGAAATATGCGTTTTGTGTCGCAATTATAGGGACTCAACATTAGAAACACAACAGATGTGTAATTTAATACTAAGTACTCTGTGTGGGTCGATGGTTATTAAAAACGAACATTAGACAGCGTTCCGTGCACAAGTTTTTATTATTGATTGATCTTAGTGAAATCCTATTATTTCATTTTGCTTTGTCGATTTTTTTCTCTATCGACTACTTAAATTATTTTGAGTTGTGTTTGACTTTTCTATCGCAGATTTTTTAAAAGCAAAGCCTTAAAATCTGCTTTGATGATGAAATGTATTCCAAAATAGATAGAAGAAAATAACCTCTCTGTGACTAGCTACAACAGCTATATTGTGTTTCACCTTTAAATCCTGCAACAATTGCGTTAACAGTCTTTAGAGTACATTTTAAATTATGAAAATTCAAATTTTCAGAAATAAATAAGAAATTTGTGCTTCTTTAAAACAAATAATATAATGTTAGGAACATTTTCTTACCTAATTTTTGCTATATTACTACAGCAAGCAACGACAATAAATTTTGGTTTTCTCAACTCGCAATGAAAGTATTCAATTTGGAAGTGATATGTTTCGGCCATAATGTACTAACATAACTTGAAGCCTATAAAGGTCTTGAAATAAAAATAGGTTCTAGTTAATTACGCAAGTTCAAAATATCAAATATGTTTTCCACTCTACTTTTAATCTATCTGTTTTTTTCCTACTCTAATCGAAAACATGAAAATTAGAGAATATCATTTTCGAGTGTTTTTCTACGTTGAAACTACGTTCTCAGTCGTCTTGGTAGTATCGAACAAAATCACAATAGTGTCTTGTATAAATCAGTGCAACTACTTGTTTTCATTATTTCAATGTATAAGTAAGAGAGCGAAAAAAACCTTTTCCATTATACATCAGAAATTGTCACATGACATATATTGCATATCATGGAGACAGAAGGAAGGAAAAGGTTTATTGACCTATATCCTATCATTAATTATAGTTATTGTATACAAACGATGATGCACCAATATTTTACTAACAGAAACAATTTATTTCCTTTGAGTTATAAATCAATATTTAATTCTCAGATTAATTATTCTATTAGTTTTACAATTATTACCGAATTTGCTTATACACATTCATTCTAAGTTTATTTTTGTCTGAATTTGATAATTCTTTTTTGTCAAGATTCAAAAAAGAAACCAATCACATTGTATTGTTTTTTACTTTTCTAATCAGAAAAACAAATCGATCATCAAAGAAAAGACACCATCAATATGTGTTATACGGTTAATGAATAAATCTTTGAATTTGTGTTTAGTTGGATATTCTGCTTCAGATGAATGAAACTTAGGAAGATATCGATCATTGAAGGAAGTACATCATACTTGTGTTCAATTAGAATGTATGAAAAATTCTGAGCAGTAACATACACATTAGCTTAAGTATTTAACGTGTTCTCACGCGTTTTTTCATAAACTATCGCGTGAAGAATCGTTAAAAATTTAAAGATTTAACGAAAGAAGATGTTACTTTTTTGATTATGAAATCGCGTTAAGTAGTCTTTTCGTTAACGAAGAAAAACCCGTTAATTTCGCGCCCTTTTAACACGGTTTTAAGGTCAAAAAGATGACATTAATTTTCATGGAATCATTAAATTTTTAACGAACTTTCACATAAAAAAGCTTCGTTAAATTGGACAAATTTTTACATGGATGATGTTAGGCAGCTACAAACGGTCGAAGTTGTGTGAGTTGATTATTTTATGGAAATACTATCGAAACATGTACGGTTTTCAATCACAATTAATACTATTGACGAAGTCATTGTATGCATGTACGCCTCATTTCAAGTTTTTATGTTACAACCATTTCTTATTTGCACAATGAAATATAGATCAATAAAAACATTTTGCATGCCGAACACTTTATTATTTTATGTTGAAAGTATGCGTTCATTCCCAATTATATACGACAAATACTTGGAAATAGAGCCATTTGGTTGACTTAACTGGCAATTGATGGAATAAAAGAAAAATTTTCTTTTCTCATGTAACTTACTTACTTGAATACATGAGTTTCTTTTAAGCCGTCAATGACAGAAACTGCTATCGGTCTATGGTTATCGCTATTCTCGCTTGTTCATACGCTTTATTAACGACAAGAGAGAATTACAGAGAAAATATTTTTTTTTATCGAAGAAGTGTAACGGAGAATGAGGAAACAATAAAATATTAATGTAGAATAGAAATTAAATTGAGTTGTGTATTGTCGGTAAATATGTATTGTAACTGCAGATAGGTTAAGAAATATCTAAAGTTATCTTGTACAAACACCAGAGACTTCATTGACAAACTGTTCACTTTGATTGCATTTAGCTATTCAAAAGAGCGAACAGACTGATCCAAATAGAAAAACTTACACCCCAATTAAAACTTTCAGTTCTTTTGAATTTTTGTTATCGGCAATTGAGTTTCCCCCTTTTATGGATCTTGCTCGGCTGCTCTTCGGTGGATGAACATGCTTCTTTATAAAATTAAACAGTAATTTGTTCTAGCTTGGAAATGGCCTGGGAATTAGAACTGAACTCAACACTGTTGGAAGAATTATACGTTTGGATCGACAGTATTCCACTGTCAAAGCCAAAGAAACGAATCGAGCGAGATTTTTCTGATGGTAATTTTAAATAATAACTTACTTGATCAGTGAGATTTTTTCATTTAGGTGTCTTGGTAGCTGAAATTATTCGACACTATTTACCCGATATGGTTGATATGCATAATTATACTGCAGCAAATTCATTTAGTCAGAAAAAGACCAATTGGCGTGTTTTACATAAGAAAATTTTGTGTGAATTAAGGCTTGATGTACCCGACAAAATTATTATCGATATATGTAATGGAAAACCAGGTGTAGTGGAAATATTTTTATTTCATTTAAGATTAAAAATAGATGAAGAACTTGAATTGCGACAAAAATTTGAACAACAATATCTGTCCTCACCGAACCAATCATCGCTCGCATTGAATGTTGTCGACTCAAAAAAAGAAAACACGAATATGTTTTCCAATCGGTCGAGTCGAGTTAGTAAATCAATCGGTAATTTCAACAGTAGATGGGTGTCACGTCTGGCTTACGAAGAATTGAAACAACAAAGTTTAGAACAGGAAGAAGAAATTGAAATACTTCGAGCAAAACTGAGACGATTAGAGCATGTTCTTCAGCTGAAAGATACTCGTATCAATGAACTTGTATCTCTGATTGAAGAAACTCGACGTAAGCGGCTCACTACTTTTGGAGCTGGAAAACATAAAAATAAATAAATCTTTACTACTTATCGCCATTGATATACATTTCCATGTAGATAATTGTTAAAAATCTGAAGATAAACATAAATACAAGACCCACTCAACTTTTTCTAAAATCGATAAATCATGTTCTCAATGTAATTGATGCTGGAGATGAGTTCACTTATCTCTTACTTTGTATCCTCGTATAGACTAGAAGATAGTTTATTTCTAGAATTCATTAGTTGATCAGTGTTTTCGGACACAATAATGATATCCTAATAACTGGAGCTATTCTCAAAATAATTTCGATATCAGAGAGTGAATCAATAAAATTCTTAACAGTTCTATTGAGTTTATCTGTTCAGTGAGAAGGATCGTCGCTGAAAAGGTCTACGATCAAGAAAAAAATTTCAGCTAGTACTTACGTTAACCTTAAATATTGAGACCTAGAGCATTATTTACGAAAATTTAGTCTTACCTATGCGCGCAGTCATTTTTACACAACAAAGTGAAATGATTGTTGTCTTTCAACTTTTACTTTTTGAAGTTTCTTTTATATATAAGGCCTTCGAAGTTTCAAGCTCAGACCGGTGAAATCGATACCTATTATAAAAATAAATATCGGGTGGCCCAGAATAAATGGCACTCTCAGTATTTTGATAACTTCTTCAATTTTCATCGCC